TTTTTATATTATTTTTTAGATTTTTGGATTTGATTCAAGTATTTTTGGCTCGGATTGCTGTCAGTGTTTTTTCCCCAGATTTTTCGGAAAATGAGAATCCGTATCGCGCGCCTGCGCGCGGGTGTGAAATAATTTCTGTAGGGGAGTTTCGACTTTTTGTAATCTCGCGCCATTTTAGGTGGACCAATAGGGAATCGTGGCTTCATGATTTCGAGATTTTCGAGATAATCGATTGTGTCAAGCGTGTTCCTTTTAGACTTTTAGAATAGGACATTTAATCTCATAGATAAGTAGTTGTAAAAGTCGTTAGTTTAGGATTTTGTAAAATTATTCCTGTGGTAAATAAAATATTAAACGCATTGATCGCATTCCTGATTGCCTCCATCTTGTTCAATAATACTGTATTGCAATGGATTCATACACGGAGAGAAATATTCAAGAAAAATTACGGAACATTTCACGTAATCTGTAAGTGAAGTAATCATCACATGAATTTTATGATCTGTTCCGTAAAAATTACTCCTCCGTCCGAGGATGAGTGAGAGGGAAATTTTTACGGAACGTTCCATAATTTTTCTGTGAATATGTAGGAATTTTTATGTTCTGAGGCATAATAAGTCTTGAAGTTTCGTTCGATTTTGAAACTTCCAGAAAAATTACGTGACTTTTTCGTATTTTTTCGGTGATAGAACCCGAAAATTTACTGAAATTTCCAGATTTATTCCCTGAAGGCAATTATCGCTGGCGAATTACATGAAATATTCCGTAATTTTTCTTTATTTCTCTGCATATAGAAATGAAAAAGTGAAACCAGAATGAATAAATTATCAAATAATCATTAGACGTTCCTGCAATAGATTAAATTACTTTAATTAATTAAGAGGCCTCCTTAGAAGATATGAGGATAGACTCTTGTAATGGGAGACCTTGTCTCTCTCGGTCATGTAAAATATTCTCAATACCGATATTCCCTACACTGAGAGAAATATTCAATAAAAATGACGTGTATTTTCCGTAATTCTGGAGTAATTTTACGGAACTGTTACGTAATTTTTCTCTAAAGTCACAGAATTTTTCCGCGGTGTTCCGTAATTTTAATCTGAATAATCGGTGAAAAATAACGATACCGTCACTTAAATTTTTCGAATCAACTCCGTAATCGGTAAATGAACTGAAAGTTCCGTAATTTTTACAAAATATTTATCTCCGTGTACCTCAATTGTCCGACACATCGATGCATAAAGTAAAACTTTGAAATTGACGAGAAACAACGAGAATAAAATCTCCCCACTGGTTAAAAAAAGAGCAACAATAAAATTGATGACAGACCCGAGAATAAAGGAATGCAAACGCGCAGGGTATTAATCGCTCATAATTTTTCGATCAGTTTCGAAGCGTTTCGCAACTGAAAGAGAGCGAATGGTAGTTCGGTTTATTGTATGTAACAGAGAGAGATTGGATGTATTCACAAAAAAGGGACTGCAGGAGGGAAGCGAGAGTTGAATGGACAGTGGACGATTGCCTCATTTCGGAATCGTCCTGCTATGAAAAGCCTTTCAAGGGGAGTCGAAACAAAAGCCCAGCCTGGCCCGATCGATTTCACATCCGGCGAAAGCTCGTCGGTGCTGCTGACAATTGACGAAAATTTCCATGTGACGGAACGTGTTAGTTCAATTTTCAATTCATCCGCCCCCATAAACCGAGTCTTTACGACATTTTCAAGATACCAGAGACCATCACATGAACAGATATTGTGCTAACAATTTTTCACTTTATTTACTACTCTACACTTGGAAAAAAAAATATTTTTGTCAAGAATATTTTCTTTTCTCAAGTATCTGGCGATCACTGTGTAAATACTCCCATAAGACTTACTAATGCCAAATATATTTTCTTGTGGTTAGTAAATATTCTTGGGTAAAGAAATTTTTTTTCTCGGTGTACATGGAGAGAAATATTTAGTAAAAATTACGGAACTTTCAGTTCACTTACCGATTAGGGAGTTGATTCGAAAAATTTAAGTGACGGTATCGTTATTTTTCACCGATACTAAATATTTATCAGATTAAAATTACGGAACACTGCGAAAAAATTCCGTAACTTTAGATAAAAATTACGTGACAGCTCCGTAAAATTTCCGACAATCACATTTCGCTCCAGAATTATGGAAAATACACGTAATTTTTATTGAATATTTCTCTCAGTGTACACATACACTCCATACTACAGCGAGAAACAAATTTTCTTTAGTCAATAATATATATATATAGATATAGTATATAATAGATATATGTACATGAGTATATATATACATACTCCCATAAGATTTATTAATACCAAATATATTTTTTTATGTTTAGTAAATATTATTGGGTAGAGAAATTATTTTTCTCGGCGTTCGTCTCAAGCACTTGAATAAAAAAATCTGACACTTTTGAGAGAACTCGAGGTAAAAAAATCTTCAGTCAAAATATCTTCGCAAAAAGCACTTACGGCAAAAGCACTTATTGGTGAAAAGAAAATTTTAATGAAAAAAGGTCTAACGGAACCACTTCTGGGGAAAATTATCCCAAAGGGACAACGAAAAAACACCAAAAGAATAATTCACGTCACTTTTCTAGGGTCTAGGCTTTTTATATCGTGGAAATATTCGCATGAGATATAAAACCTTGGCTGAATTTCCGAGATAATTAATAACAATTGTCGGGTATTGGTTGAGAACAGAATTTAGGGCTTTTCATGTCCGATCGCGTGACTCGCAAGATTCAATTCCCGTTAAAAGTAAGAAATTACTTTTTTCGAGACACCAAAAGAAAATGGACGACATCGTCGCCTTGCTTAAGTATTTCTCGAAGATCTATTTCGTAATATGATACACAGAATCGATTTCCGGAGAGCATCAATCATGTTTTTTATTCCTCGATTTTCAATAAATAATGTGGTACGAGACGATGAGCATAAGTAAATCATCGGAGATCCTCTTTATGGTTATTTATTCTAAAAAAGTGATAATGAAAGGATAGTTTAATTATTATTATTACTATTTTGAATAAAAAAATTAAAGTGGATAATTTCGCAATCGTTTTAGATGTCTTTTCAACAGT